ACTTTATTACACAATACACGATAACAAGTTTACCATCATTTTTACAAAATCAACTAACAATGTTGTAAAGATGCAGGAAATGTCAAACAAACACTTTTACGTATCTTATTAGTTTAATAATGAGACTGTTAACATGCCTAAGAATTGAATCTGAGGAAATGTGAAAAATATGCTGAAAAGTGAAAAAACAGCATAACTTCTACAATAATGGCCCGATCATGCTGATTTTCGAACTTGACCTGCGTTTTATGAATATTCATCAGCTCTGTAAATATAAAGCCAAAAAGTAAAACTGCCCTCCACTTATCGTGTTTACAAGGAAAGTGCACGGCGCCGGCATCGCCATCGCCATCGGCATCGCCATCGCCATCGGCGACGGCGACGACAGACGCAGGTGATGGCAATATGTACAGACACATCTGTGTCTGTACATAAAAATACAGTTTAAAATGTATCAGTTTATACCAGAAAGTATTTCTAAACACCAAAACGTACTTGAGAAATGACAGCGATTCTGGTGGAGTACGTCGGCATAAACCTGAGGAACATGGGGTCAATCATCAGCTGTATTGGGGTCACCGCACGCAGCATGCGCAGGTCGTACACTTTCAGGAAACGATCCACAGCCATGTTACCCATGTTGTTCCTGGATGAAAAGTGAGCAGATTCAGTAACTCTTCTCTTAATTTAATAAGCTCTACTGAAAACTAAGTAATGAGACCTATCATTTCACCAGCAGAGCACACTGATAGTCAGCACCAGCTCACCCAACACATTCCCAGCTGACACATTCACAGCTATCTCATTCACATCTTACACATTCAAACCTTACACAAGCACATCTAACACATTCTCATCTAACATTCACATCAAACACATTAACATCTAACACATCCTCAGCTAACACATTCACAACACACACATTCTCATCTAACACACTGTCACAAATGCCTGCCTAGTGCTACCTGCTGGTGAATCCACAGGTGATCAGCAGGTTTTCATGGACATCCATATCAGAGAGTGTTCCAGTGTGAGCCTCTAACACATGCTCCGACTTCAGTGTGCGGGGGTCTCTGAGGGTCACCTGTGTGGAGAGGGTACATAGAGACTTCATATCATTATAATATTAACTGGGTCACCTGTGGGGAGAGGGTATATAAAGACTTCATGTAATTAACATATTAACTGTCTATACCATGCATATCTCTTCTGGCTCAAATTTCACAATTTTGGGATCTTTCCAGGTTTTGTTTGTCAAAGAAATATGTAACAGAGCACTGACCTCATGGAGACATGCTGACAAATATTTAGAGCCTCTGTGTGTGAAAGGAAAGAACTACAATCATTAAAATAAATCTTTTATCATAGTTTCTTACCTTGCCACTGGTGTCGCCACTGAACAGGTACTTGTTGGTCTGCCTCATTATGGCACATCCAGCCTCCTCTACATCAACCTAATTATACAGTGTAGCTTTCATTATATACCATATCTTTTATACCTTAAAATACACAATCACAGTTTTGTAGACATCTCTGGGAAATACTTCAACACTAGTTTGATTTCAAATCTATGCCACGTGTCTGTTATACCTAGTTTGTAAAACACACAAAAAACTGTATCTACTTTGATAATGAATATCTTACACAAATATCTTAACACGTTTGAAGACAACAAAAAAATGGCTATTTCTTATATTTCAGTTTTTTTCTGCGCTAAGTAATATCTAAAGCTGCAATCAGTGTCACATCTCACATGATCACTATGTAACACAATCTCACCTACCACATTGTCATCCATCACAATCTCACCTACCACATTGTCATCCATCACAATCTCACCAACCACATTGTCATCCATCACAATCTCACCTACCACATTGTCATCCATCACAATCTCACCAACCACATTGTCATCCATCATAATCTCACCTAACACATTCTCACTTTCCTTAATACTATATGTGTACGGTTACACAGTATACTGTATGGTAAAATAAACTGATGTGAGGTCATGGTATATCACTGACCAGTGGTCCCAACTCTCACCTCTTTGACCACCTGGACACTGTTCAGGTCCAGTTCCAGCATCTTGGTCTGGTGGCCTCCCAGCAGTAACTTATCTCCACCTGTCTGCAGCATACACTGCATGTCCTGTAACCTCTCATCTCTAGAATACAGAACACAATGTATAGCACAACTAACACAATCTACAGCATACACTGCATGTCCTGTAACCTTTCATCTCTAGAATACAGAACACAACGTATAGCACAACTAACACAATCTACAGCGCAACTTACACCTTTTTTTTTTCAATTAACAGTATTCTCTTATTTTTCTGTGTAATATAATGTGGGCCATTTTCTATACAGAATATTTGTCTGAATATAATGTTAATGTCTGCAAATATTCAACTTAACCTACAGATAGCATCAATCAATTTCACTTGCTCTATGAATTTAACTCTCAACAGTTATGAATGACCACAAAACTATCTTTACATCTTATTTCACTACACCACTGTGTGAAAAAACAAGTGTTCACTTTTTCAAATACTAATTGATTTCAGCAATCAAAATTTCTAAAAAAGCTGTGCCTATTCTAAACCTTACCCATAGTCAAACAGTGTCCTCCCAAACCTGTGAGAACACCTCAGATGGTTCCTCATCAGGGAGAGGACGCCCGTGTCCAGAGTGAGGAGCTGCCTCACATCAAACCTGGCATCCACTTGGAATGATGTGTACTTCTGCATGCCCTGGCCATAGTATGATGTCACATGACCCTGAAGTGGAGTAGCAAGTCCAGACTTAACAATAAACATTACTATGTGGGAGTTTTTTTAAAAAGCTATTATAGCAGAGTAAAGGTTCTGATTCTTCCAAAGGTGTGATATCTCTAAGGGAGGATAGATTTTATGTTAGACATGAAAACAATAAAAGAACGCCATTGGGATCATTACCAAGGAACTTCACAAGGGAAAGGAGTAGCAACTTGTCACCTGATGGGCTGGTAACATTAAGGGTAGATGGATGCAGACTGCTGAATTATTTTAATGTCCAAGTGTTTAATTTTTTTTTCAGCATGTATACAGTGTGTAAGATTTTCACGTTATTTAAAGGTTGTGTTAGCCTGAAAAGGTCCACTCTACATGACAATTTGATCAAGGTCCTGCATAAACAAGGAGAGAAAAAAGGCCAACTTGTTCAAAAAAAAAAAACAAAATAAATTCCTTTGTAAATTTCTGGCTACAAGCTTGTATAACATCTGAGGATCACTTGTCTGTGGTTAAGACTGAAAGCTGTTGGAATAACTGGCACCCACCCCTTGGTTACCCATCCACAGCAGCTCTTCCTGGCCATCAAACGCCACAGCTGACACTCCAAAATGGCTGCCACCGTCCACCAAGATGCTGTGGAACTCCTTGTATTCATGCTCCATGCTGCCTGGCAACTGGTCACCATAGAGACCCAAGTCTCCCTGGAGACTGCTGTCATGGTAACCTTCAACTGCAGTCTCAGCAGGGGGAAGGTCCCCTGGTGGAATAGTGGGGTGAAACTCCATCCCTGCCCTGAGAAAAGACAGAGAGGTGGCTGGTTATACTAATTCATATTCATAATGAGCACTAGTACTTTTTGCTCTGCAGAGCAATTAATATTGTAAAATCTGTTAAATCATACAGATAGACAATTGCTAAAATGCTTATATTTTTTTGTTTTGTTGGTTGGTTAAAATACATATGTAAAAGTAAATGTCTTGGTTCTGTGTTTTCACAGTGAAACCATGCCGGTATTATTAAATACATATGTCGTAAGTATTGATGTAACTTAGTGCCGATCCCCATGTCCACATCATGCTAGCATTGTTTCAGTGTCTTTTTGAATTTTAATAAAAAACAGAGACTATATTGTACTGCCAACACAGTGGAACTGACTATGACTTCTAGTTGGTAAGTGGATACACATGTAAGGGCAAGTCAAGGTGATTTCATCCGATTTGTTTCTGAACAATTAATTCATTTTATCGGGATTTTGTCCATTATGGTGGTCTCGTGTACCATAGTAAAAGTTCTACGTGGTTTTAGAATCATCAACAGATCACGGCGAGCCCCTGCTTGAGTCAGTGACTACAATGCACTGTCTCTCGCCGTCGAGGATAAATCGACCTCACTTGCCAAATAAAAACTCACAATGCAAAACTGTTGGGGCAGTTATAAAACCAAATATCTTTTTAACAAATACATAAATGCATTTCAACTCACGGCGAGATAAGATCAGAGAGCAACGGTTCGAATTCGGCAATGTTTTTGTTCAAACTGATCCATGAAAATCACCACTCCATAACTAGGTCACGTTTATGAATCTCTAAAAGCAGGAGAGCAAGACTTGACGGTCTCGTTACTACCGTAAACACATGTGTATAACCAGTACTCCGCCGCCACCCTGAGCTTCAGAGATAACTTGACACTAACCTCTTCACTATAGCCTATCTTCTTCGTGTCAAGTTACGATGTAAGTAACTTGACACGATGAAGACAGGCTATAGTGAATAGGTTATATTGTCAAGTTATCTCTGAAGCTCAGGGTGTCCGCCGCTTGCCTTACCGCAAATTTAAAGAGCTTAAGGGAAACCGGTAATCTACATGTATCTAACTATCTATCAATCTATTTTTTTTTTTTACTATATAAAGGTCTAACTGGCTTTAAGTGTCTTTTACATCTGTGTATTTATTTATTCATTTGTCTGTATTTCTAAATTAAGGTTCTTTCATCTAGAAAGAGAAATTTCGCTCCAACAATACGGCGCCCACAACAGATGCCTATCTGGTTGAAGTTTATTTGAAAAGAGCCACCAGGATAAAATGATAGGCTTATTATTTTGCACGGCACATTTGATTGATTAGTAATACGTGATTTTCGTTAGGTGTCTGACATGAAACTTCTATATAACTTACACGCGTATAACACAAACATGCTCGATTATAATTAACGTTATAGGGGACGTTCACGAGACATTGGGGGCCTACTCATTTTTGTATCTCTTACCTTGAACCAATTACACGTGTACAATAATGGGTTCAAGCTCTTATAAAATTTTCAATTCAATTCAATTTTCAATTTATAATTCTGTAATGCTACATAAATTATCATGACCTCTTACAATATAGGCCTAATATAATACCCACAATGCAATTGGTGCATTACCATTCTCTAATTAATAACTAAAAGCAGATTATAGTTTTATATACCGGGTACATGACTTCAATCGTTTTGATCATGCTAACATTCAGGGGTTCTTCCTGCCGCCAGGTCATTTCGTTTTTCCCATCCTTGTGGAATCCTGCACCAATTCCACATTGTATAATTATAATAGTCAACATGTTTTTATCTAATTTGCGTCTGTCCTGCATACATGCCACACTCATACTCTCTGATAAAAGAAAGCGAGAATTCTTGGCTACTTAAGTTTTGTATCAGAATTTTTCATTTTTGTAAATGTTCTAGATGTATATCATTGTTAACAGAGGGTTCTCTGATCATCATCCGCCGTCACGGTATCTGCATGTTTCGGCACAACCTACTGATAAGTGTAATCAGTGTAATTGCTCATATCTATACCTTAGCATATATTAGCATATATTAGGACCATGTGACCTTGGCGACCCTCCGTGGACATCGTTCACATGCTGAGCACTGACACCAGGACGAGGAATAACACGCAGAGTTTGTGAAGCTACCTGTACTATGTACTGATACTAACAAAACAACAATTCAAGGTAAGACCTTTAAATATTTTTGAAATATTTCCTTTTTTCCTCTCTCAACCCCAACAATTTCATTCCATCTACCATTTTCTGTAGGCTAACCTTTCATATGCCCTCTTTGTTTCAATTTCCATGTATTTAATCATTGTCTCGTTGGTGGGTGCATGACATTACCATGGCCCGCCTTTTGTGATAGCGTAACCTTTACACGTACATGTAGCAACCCTTCAGACGTAGCATATCATTCCACTACTGGAGCCTCCAAGTACGTGAGACATTTTCAAAGTCTGGATGCATGCCGTAGGAATGAAATTACCGATTGTGGGGATACTTTTAAATATGGTTTTAATTAATTTTCTTTTTCACTCTGTGTAATTTTATTATCTCACTATATTCCACCTTGTTTTATGTTATTTATTTTATTCAAGGGTGTAACTAGTCACACCTACGAACTTATGCACTGTGTGTACATTTTTCAGGCCGACCATGATTTTATATTCTCAACATTTAGTATATTTTACATAGAATATAATAGCAAATCCTCTTCGATTGTAAGTTTAAGTCTCCTGTGTGTGCAAACGTGTAAATAATATACGCCCCAGTGTTCTGACACCCCGTCTCGCTTGCCTTCATAGGCAAATAATGCTAGTTACCTTTAAAAGTCTTATCTTAATCGTCCATCTGACTGGAACTTCCTGTACTTCTTAATTGGAGGGTAAGTGCCCTTTAACTCCCAGGTAGCCTTTGTCTTGAATGCAACGAACGCACGGTCGCTGGCAATATTTATCTCAGGTAAAAATCTGCCAGTGCGTTATTGTAAAAGAGCAGCTCCAGCAGACCTGGGGGCACTAGTGAGTAGATAAAAATAT